ACATGTACAGTACTTTCATGATAATTTCAAAACAACACGATTAACATGTACTTATACCGTTGCTCATAACTTTTCATGGTGTATGGAATATGAAAACATATGTGTTTTCATCCCTTATTTCACATGGTAGCAGGCATTAAAATACGGAATTTTTACAAGGACACACTTTGCCTTCAGAGGCGTATTGTTGGCATAATGCGCAGACACGAGAACGAGTGGCGAAGCCACAAGTTTAGCGTCGAAGACGCAAGCTTTTAAGGGGGTCTCTGAAATGGCATTTCCAGTATTCTGAGAACAGAATTTGGAAAATATTTGGCCATTTTGCGTGGATTACAAGGACACAAAGTGTGTACAAGGACACGCTATTTTAATGCCTGCATGGTAGATACGCTTGACTTTCAAATTCGGACTAGAAAAAGAAATTGACATCATTCTCTCGTATAAATGTTCTTCTTCTTCCTCTTTACAGTGTATCCATCGTGATCTTGCTGCGAGAAATGTTTTGGTTGGGGATGAAAAAGTGATGAAAATTGCTGACTTTGGTTTGGCAAGAGATATACATAAGATTGACTATTACAGAAAAACTACAGACGTAAGTATGATATTGTGAATTTCTGCAACATATGCAATTGTACAATTATCAGTTTGTCTCCTATGAGAAAAAAATTCTATTTGATTCAAACAAACAAACACCGACTTGGGTACCATACCCTTCAGGAAGAAATGGACCGGAACTCACCGATATTAAGCACATGCATGGTTTCTTTCCTGCAGTAACTCTGTGACAACTTTGTGATATTAACTCTTTGTACATACTTGAGTTCTATACTGTCAAAATATAACCGTATAATAAAAGGAAAATTTATTGATTGAATAGTTAACTGATCGATTGATCGAAATCGTTATTTTGCAGGGTCGCTTGCCGGTAAAATGGATGGCGCTCGAAGCTTTATTTGATCGAGTCTATACAACTCAAAGTGATGTGTAAGTTAAAGTACCATGCACTGACTACTATACAATATCTATAGCTATACTGTAAGTTCAGTTGAGGTTACTCTTAAAAATTAAAACTTACATAACGGTCAAACCACAAAACCTCGCCGTCCAGATGTGTATCAGTGTAAAGCACAATTGACTGGTACAACTAATCAATTATGAAGGGGTGCAAGAAAATTGTTTCGAGTTTTAACCAACAGCGGACACCCTTTTTGACTGAATTTTGGGTGTATACTGCATTGTATACCGATAATAAAAAAAATTGGATCACTAATGCATCACAGTAATTGCATACATATAAAACACTCGAAAATGATAACATTCACCTTCTTTTTGTAAACATCGTATTACTCAGTACACCCATTTCTAATCAGTTTCTTCATTTAACTTGTAGATGGGCCTTTGGTGTTCTTGCATGGGAGATATTTACTTTTGGTAAGTTATTTCCAGAGTGTTTTTCTTTTTGTAGCTTTGTTTTTGACTTCACACAGTCATATGAAATTAATGTCAGTCGCTTATGATGTTTTCCCACATATTCCTAGGAGGAACGCCGTATCCCAGTGTGCCACTTGAAAAGCTATTCGAACTTCTAAAATCTGGTTATCGAATGGAGCGACCCGTAAACTGTCCACCAGAAATGTAAGTGACTGAAAAAGTCTCATTGCAATGCATGTATTTAGCAAATTGATCGCTATGTCATTTGCTATTTAAAATATCTTCAATGTCTTTAAAATTATTCAGCAATAAATTTTATAAAAGGTTATCATGAATTAGACTAGTACAGTAGTATCAATATACGAGACATCCTCGGATTGTATTAAAAGTATATACACTATAAACATGTCGTTATTTATAATTGGTCATGTTATTTTGATAAAGCACTTTGATATGAAAACGTTAGATGGTCGTCATTTTATAATCTTATTCAATGTTATCAAATAGATTATTTATTTGTAATTGTATGAATTATTGTACAATGTGAATAAACACAATTCGAAAATATCCATTTGCACTCGTCCTTCGGACATGAAAAAATTTGAAAGTTGTGGACAAACTTACTGGGCTCCGACTCATGAATGTTTTTCTTCCAATTTCGCTCGAAACAATACTGCTACCTCTGGCTCAACTCATATAATATAATAAGTATAAATGTAAGCATTTCAATACGTTTCTTCCAATATACTTTTGTTCGTTTTCCTACCAGATATGATCTGCTGTTACGGTGCTGGTTAGAAGAACCAAAATGTCGACCCAATTTCACTGAAATCGTCAAGGAATTGAACGAGCAGTTGGAAAGCATGACAGCAGAGGTGAGGTATAGAAATTGTTGGGGAAAGATCAGGAATATACTATATGTTTGAAACACAGCAATAGACTTAAAGCAGTAAACGTATGACTCATTCCTGATAACAGAGCTGATCGTTAGGGATGTAAATAAAATGGGAGACCTTAGAAAACCTTGCCCGATGAGGTAATATCAGTAATGATGAGTTAACCCAAATTATTTTTATATTTTTTGGGGGAAAGATCAGGAATATAATATGTGTTTGAAACACAGCAATAGATTTAAAGCAGTAAACGTAGGACTCATTCCTGATAACGGAGCTGATCGTTAGGGATATAAATAAAATGGGAGACCTATGAGGTAATATCAGTAATGTTGAGTTCACCCAAATTATTTTTAGGTTAACCATGGAAATTTTAACCTGAGCCCGTAGTTCTTGGTTAACTCTATAGAATCACGTGTATCGTCTTCTTTCCCGACAGTCACCAGCTTGGAGATGATCCCCCAACATCATGGCCTGGCTCCATTTTAAGATTAAAGTCTATAGGTTTATGCTTTTTTATTCACTATAGGAATACATTGATGTTGAAGCGCCGTTGTTAAGCCCAATGACTCCCCGCACCCTATCGGAGTCTGGGCCCAACCATGGTCTGAGCTCAGTTCGTACGTCTTTCGGCAACGTTTTTGTCAGCGAGGAAAATGACGCGGAGGACGAAGACGAAGTACTAGTGAACGAGGATGGTGAACCCGACAAGAGATCTGAAGAAAAGAGTAGCGACAGTGGACTCGTGGAATCCGAAGGGAATTCCGAGGAATGCATAAAGGTTGACGACGAAGATTCGGTGTTAATCGTAAACAGGTCGGGAAAGGCTCCGAAGTTTCGAGAACGGAAGGAAAGCCATGTATAGATGGTAGGAATCCTGTCAAGATTCATTCCAATGCTTTTCGTGTCCATATCGCTATTACCACGGTGATATAGCTCAGCGGAAATTCGAACATGAAGTCGAGCATGGTGTCATGCTGCTGAGTGCGGGTAATAACTTTAGATCGGTGTATTTCCAAAGGGATTTAGAGAAATAGAAATTAATGTACAGTGTTGACCAGTGGTTCTATAACAGTTGGTGTACACGGTTTCAAGGATAATTGGTTGCCTGGAAGAGGCAACCAGGCAGGGACAACGAAGCTGCATGAATTGGTCTTAACTGGAATAAATAACCTGAATACAGAAACTGTATTACGAAAAACAAATTTTTTATACCATGTCCAAATCGTCAGTCAGCATTGAGCAGCCACACAAACGGTCTATTCGCAATTTCAATGTAGTAATATATACAATATTTATAAAATTTAGTGATATACATGTACAGGTAGGTAGTGCTAGGGTTTTCTTACATTAAAATCAGAAACGTTAGTCGTTTACAACGAAACTGGATAGATAGCCGATAGGTCTTAATAAGAGTTACAAAAAGCAATTCAAAAAGTTGATTAAAAAAAAGGGTATCACGGATTTTTATACCACTTTATAAAATCACACGAACGTAAATTTATCTTACGTTATGATGTACTGGTTATTGTATTGGCATGAAGTACATAAATATCTTTCTGTTTGCATTAATCATTGCATCCTGGAATGTACAATATATACCACAAGTTAAACGGAAAGATATAATACTAGTTATATATGCAGCTAATTCTTTAACGGAGAAGGCAAAATTTAGCATCAATCGATGTATATTGAACAGGAATATAAAACAAATACCACGAATAAAAACGAAACAGTCATATATATACGTGTTCGTCATTAACCTTTTCAGAACAGATAGAAGCAGTTATCAGGGTGTCCACCCTTTGGTGAAATTCGAGGACTTTTCCAGGACTTTCAAGGCCCTTTTTCAGTGAATTCAAGGACCTAGAACTGGGAAAAAACTTTGAAAATGGCACGGATTTGCTGTAAATAATTCACTTTATTCAGTAATGTCACTAATGTTGGCACAGCTGGAGGTTAAGGAAAGTTGTTTTTCCAATTCAAGGACTTTCCAGGATTTTCAAGGCCCGTGGACACCCTGAGTTATGCACTCTTAAATATATAGACTCCAAACATCTGAAATAAGTTACAAATCTTTAGATTCTTTGCTAGTTGGTTTGTTCGGATATTAGACCCTGGTTCAGAATTTTATCTTTCTGCTTTCTATTCATTTAGGGACAGGCCTTCTTGTATAACCTTATCATTTATAAAATGATATTTTCTATCCATAGCAATATTCTCATGCAAGACGATTTACTTCGGCGAATCTTCACTGGGGCGAATCTTCACTGGGGCGAATCTTCACTGTCATATGTCAGCAATACTATCTGCACATGTTTCTTGTTAACCCCCAAGCAGCAACACGTTCCAGCGTTACCCTCCTCCCACCCCATCCTTTATTATATACACAGTCTATAAGCAGGCGATTTTACTCCTCAGCCTCAGGGGATAGTTTTGGATCTGATAAAGAAAAATCATTATTATTATTATCTTCATATTTATCCAGGATATCCATATACCGAAGTGTTTTTCAGTGGGGTCCTGGTATCCATTTAATACCTCCAGCATAAACGGGACGATTTATTTGACATTAATAGGTTAAGAAGCATGCATTCAAAAGTAAAGGTAAGATGCAAAGTGATAATGTCAAAAGCTAAATATTTTACAGATTTGAATAAACTTTTTTATTATAAAAGGAACCTTACTCATTGCTCTCCAACTTTTACATGATAAACAACAGGAACTATGTTCAATTTGTCCTGATATATATTAATTTCAATTATCTAATACTTATGTATGGTATATCAAATCTGTTTTGTATTTTCAGCATTAATTGAGTATGGTACAACTATATTAAGAATAGATAAGTTCAACAACTTTTAGTCCATAAGGCTTTCATTTTTCAACACAACCCTAATTGAATGTGCTAAATATATTTGTAAGTATGTGAACAAAAAATAGGTTAAAATTTGGTGCTGTTCCAGAGTGAGAAATACTAATTATCAATATCATCAGCAGTTCAATTTTGATATCATACTTCAGTATTTTTCAATTACTGCAATAGCCTATACGCAGGCTTTTAGCCAGAAGGGCATCCTGGGACACCCCTAGAACAAAAAATGGATGCCCAAATTCTGGGGGAAAAGGGAAATTATTTTCAATTATTTTCCTAAGTGTATTAATAATATAATATATGAAATAGCTTCAATTCTCATTATTATTATACATTTGACATTTTGATCAATTTGATGGTGTACCTGGCTGAATGAAAATGTCGTAGTTAAGTAAAGAAGCATAGCGGCACAAACTCACAAAGCCAAGTGTGTTTGAAAAATTTTGAACAAGCTTGCAACAGATACTGACATGAAGTAACGTAAACTTTGAACAAAGGTTTTCAAGAGGAACGTTTTCTCAACCCC